TCCGTCCAGCATTTGACCTCGTCCTGCGAAGGATTCGAAGTCTAAAACGCTGCGTGCAGGCGTGTGGCTGCAAAATAGAGACCCCTAGATATGCGCTGCAATTTGGCTCCAGGTTGCATTTTCAAGCGATGTCAAGCTTTGCCAAAGGAAACCCCTTTTCCCTTTTTTTCGGGGACCCCTTTTTTTTGGACCCCTTTTTTTCTTTTTTTTTTTTTGTTTTTCTTAGCCCTGCAAAGGTTGGCTCGCTTGAAATGCAACCTGGAGCCAAATTGCAAGCATATCTAGGGGTCATTATTTTGCAGCCTCGCGCCTCCACGCAGCGTTTTAGACTTCGAATCCTTCGCAGGACGAGGTCAAATGCTGGACGGACGAGTGCTGGGAGCCTCTCAAGTAGAATATAAGCCATTTGGGAAACTCCCTCTAAAGAGAGAGGCAGGGCATACGCGGTCAGGGCGCTGGCTGCCACCGTGGCCAGCGTGGCGTTGTTGGCTGAGGCGATGGAGCCGTTCATGGCCGCCGTGGTGCTGTAGTTCGACAGCTTCAGGTCCACGCTGTCGGGGGTGCTCTTCGTAGCCACCACGCCCCCCAGCACGTCGAAGGCCGACTGGTCTGCCTTGTTGGAGAGACCCGTGGTCAGCGAGCTCTGCAGCGCTGCGATGCTGCTGCCGTGCGCAGCCACCTGCCCGTCTGTGGTGGCCAGGGCTGCTGCCGTGGCCAGGGGTGCGATTGCCGGCGCCAGCGCGCTGCTGTCCAGCTTCGACGCCAGCTCTGCGGTGACCCGGTCGTCCAGCGACTGGATGGCTGCTGCGTTGTTGCCGGAGGCTGCCGTGTTCACCGCCAGGTACAGGTCCTTCAAACATGTTTACATATGTTTTCGCCGACGCCTTAGTCCAGTGGCTAAGGCGTCGGCCAAGGAGCTAAGCGCTTCTTACTCCGCACGGGGCTCGATTCCTGCTGCGAGCGCAGTTGAGTACCATTCAGTCCGAATTCCGGCCGTTATAAGTTTCCGCAAGTACGTGTCACCCCGTGACACAGTCCGTGGGTAGCCTTTTCACGACCTGAAAGCGAGGCCGGCTGCGCGGCTTCGGTTTTGGAGCCCGCGCCAGGCCCGCGCCAGGCCCGCACCAGGCCCGCACCAAGGTTTTTCGGGCAAAATCGGAAGCTTGTTGGAATTCCGACCTTGCTGGGAGAGCGAAGTCGGAATTCCGACCTCGCAGCCATTGGCAAAAAAGCGCGCTGCAGTCCTCCCACGGGAGGTCTTACATTTTTTTCCTGGGAAGAATTCCGACCTCGGGTGGCGCGGGCTCGGCAGGCTGGTGCGCTTGCCGCTACATAGCACGTGAATTGAGGGAAAATATCCTTCGATTCAAGTCCAGGCCGTGATACCTATAGCCGAACGCAGAAACTATGCATGGCGTGCATAGTTTCATAATATTTCCAAGGCCTGATTAGCGAGACACAACAAATCAGGTGGCGCGGCCGGGTGGCTTTGATGCCGGGCAGGAACCTCTCTCTTTAGAGGCTGGCTTCTGGCTGGCTTTTGGCTGGCTTCTGGTTATTTTTGGTTGGTTTCTGGCTGGCTTTTGGCTCTTGGTTGCTCAAAAAAAGAGGTTTGGCTTCTGGCTGGCTTTCTGGCTGGCTTCTGGCTGGCTTTGCTGGTTTGGCTGGCTTTCTGGCTGGCTTCTGGCTGTTTCTGACTGGCTGCTGGCTGGCTTTCTTTTTTTTCCATTTTTTTTTTAGCTCGCCTTGCAGAAACGCAGCTGCGGGGCATTTTGCAAGCATATCTAGGGGTCGTTATGTTGCAGCCACACGCCTGCACGCAGCGTTTTAGGTTTCGAATCCTTCGCAGGACGAGGTTGTTTCCTGGACGGACGAGTGCCAGGAGCCTACCAGGTGGAATAGAATCCATTTGGGAAACCCCCTCTAAAAAAAAAAGACCGCTCTGTTAGAAAGGTTCCGATGGAGGGCGAGCAGAAAGGCCATCGCAGAGGCATCACACTGGTGAGCAAGCATTTTCCTTGTGATTTCTTCTACATGGGAGACCAACTGGAATTTGCAGATTTATAAAAGACAAAGTCATGATACTCATCGTAAATGATATCATGGCCAGCCCATGGTGGTGCCCGTCATGAGCGGTACACCGGGCAATCCACAAGTTTTTGCATGAGACTTGCAGAAACACTACAAAATGTTTTCTTGTTTTCGGCGACTACTACTCTGGAGATGCCAGGTGCTTGGTGGTCAACGATTATACGATGCTACAATTATTGCTGGTTACAAATTGGTGATGGACGCTCGTCATGGACACTCGTTTTCTGCAGACTGCTCTGGATCTGCGCAAGTCCTTATAGATAGCTTGCTGCATGTGCATCATCGCACATGAGGTCTGGTGCATTCTTATTTCATGTTCAGTTTACAAAACCTGGCCAAACTCGTGCAGAGACGTTTCACTGAATTGAGTAAAAGAGAAGCCGTGCGTGCGTGTCGGCGTGCGTTTGTGATTGGTTTCCGACCCAGGGATGAACCCTAGCCCGGGATGGGGAATCTCCAAGCCGCAAGGCGAAAACGTCCTAAAGGCAGGTTCTGAAGGTCACCTTGTTACTTCCCCTCGTTCAAGGTCGTAAACCTTTTTTGGGGGAGTGTGTTTTGAGTGCAGCCGACATGTGCGTGCAAATGCATTTGGATCAAGACCTTGAAAATAGGATCGAGGCAAACATCCAAACACAGCTGTGAAGCAAAACAAAAGGGTTCGTTTTCCGCGGTCGCATCGAGTCGTGAGACAATGCAGATCATTTACCTTACAACCCCTTTTTACCACGACCACTGCTATACGACTTACTGTCAAAGGTATTGGTCACGCCACGGGAGTCGAACCTCAATTGTCCTGTCAATTGACTGCGTGGTTGATCCGCCTTCTGACAGTTTCTGACATGCTTGGGCACGTCAAGACTCGCGCTATGGACCACTGCAGCTGTCGAGGACGCATTTTTGAAAGCACACGCGACACTTGTGCTTTTCACGAGAAGAACGAAGTCGGAGGGGTGACTTTCTTGCTGAAAACCAGGCTCCGGAAGCTCAGGAAGCGAGACCGGCTGCGCGGCTTCGCTCACAGAGCGAGACCAGCTGAGCGGCCTCGCTCGGAAAGCAAGACCGGCTGGGCGGCCTCGCTCGGAAGCAAGACCAGCAATGTTTTTTTGCTAAAAACCATGCAGCGGACGGGCCGGAACAAGTATCGTACTTGCGATACTTGTTCCGTAAGAAAAAACGCGCATTCGGCACGCATTCGGCGCACGGCGATGGCCCGGGAGGGGTGACTTTCTTGCTGAAAACCAGGCTCCGGAAGCTCAGGAAGCGAGACCGGCTGCGCGGCTTCGCTCACAGAGCGAGACCAGCTGAGCGGCCTCGCTCGGAAAGCAAGACCGGCTGGGCGGCCTCGCTCGGAAGCAAGACCAGCAATGTTTTTTTGCTAAAAACCATGCAGCGGACGGGCCGGAACAAGTATCGTACTTGCGATACTTGTTCCGTAAGAAAAAACGCGCATTCGGCACGCATTCGGCGCACGGCGATGGCCCGGCGGTGGCCCGGCGATGGGTTTTTTGGGCAAAATAGGAAGCTTGGAGCGAAGTTGGAATTCCGACCTCGGTGTCAGAGCGAAGTCGGAATTCCGACCTCGGGTAGGTGCAGCAAAACCCGTTTGGGGAATAGCTTCTAAAGAGAGAGTCCATTGGCCGCAGCTGCGCCGCATCGACGCATCGCCTTCCAAAGCATTGCAAGACAGTTTTGGCAGCCTGCTTGACAAGTGGCTGCGTGCTCCAGGGACCCACCTTACCGGTTTGCTCAGACAAAGCTCAGAATGACAGCAATCGCATTGGGGCCCGACGGTGCAATCGGGGCCCGCGGGGCTCAATGGTGCAATCGGGGTTTTCCTTAAAATGCCTTGCAAGCCGTCCTTGTGGAGCCTTGGAACTCAGCGTGAAACATTGTTTGCTGGAACCTTTCCTTATAGCTTTTGCAGAACCTGGTGGATTCCTCGTGGAGCGTTTTGGGAGGTGCCATGCATTTTCCTTCTTTTAAAGACACTTTTAGAACGCTGCCCCTCGTTGCTTTGATGCCGTCGCCGTGTTGTCTTACCTCTGTGAGCCGTAAAACGTGCTCTCTTTGGTTTTTGTGGCTGTGTTGTGTTTGTGTTCTCTTTTTCTTCCTTCTATCTGGTTTGTGTTCGCTTTGTCTTCGGCTTTTTCTCGTTTGGTGCGCTGAAACAGCGGACTGGCGTGATCGCAACGGCCGCTCGGTTCAAAACAAAAAATGTTCGTTTGATTTGTGTTTGTTGTTTGTTTTCACGGCTCAATTACCCATGGTTTGTTGTTTTAACGGCGAATGGCCGCGTGGAGTGATCTGTGGCAGCATGTAGAACATGTTTTTTTGCGTGAGACTGCGTGAGAGACGCGAGCTTCAATGTGGCCTGTGCTGGGCGCATTCCACGTGTGAGCTCTCCGAGGTCATCATGGTGTCATATTGTCAATGATGCCATGCCGGTGTTAATGATGTCGCAGTTTTTTTTGTCAAAACAGATGCTAGCGAATTAGAGTGTGTGCAGAAAATCCGCAAGCGTGCGCACACCCAAAGCGGCTACTTGTGGGCCTTAATTGGTGCATGGGCTCACTTGGTGCATGGGCCGCTTTTTGTTCAAGCACGCACAGTATTTCATATGATGTGGTCGTATTGCTCAATTTGGTTGGGTTGCTTTGCCCGTTAATGCAACGGGGTCCACACAACAACGTGGGCGACTGCACAGGCTAATGCCGGGCGCTCTCGCCGATTTTGCATTTTGTTGACTTTGTTGCCACAACTTGTCAGAACACAGGCGCAAAGTTGCAAGGCAACTTGATGATGTGATTTCAACACTTATATGTTTGCCTAGACGTTTGTGTGTGGAGTTTGGCCGGTTGAGGCGTGGTTGCTTGCGTTTGATTCGCCATCCAGGTGCACAGGCGGTTTGCAGAGCCATTTGAGGCTTCAGTATCAATGCAGTGAGGCCTTGATTGGTCAGGCCGCCGCAGGCTGGTGCCACGTGTATGTTTGAGCGCGTGATTGCAAATGCCTATCTGATATGCTGGAGATGTGTTAGGCGATGTGGCGACTTGCCTGCGCTTTGTTAATATTGGGTGCCTTGCTCAGCTGGACAGGATGTTTTCGAGCCTGCTTAGGAACTGGATCAGACTCGTGTCCACCCATTGGTTGCTTTGGTGCGCTTTCGCACTACATATTTTGCAGTTTGGCGGCTAGCTTGCGTTATGTCGTGAAGGGATTGCGAGTCATCTGCGAAACAAAGTCTCAGTACGCCAACACCGAGGTGCCAGAGCGCTGGACGCTGGAGCGTCACGGCTGCACCAGTTCCAGGCGCAAGTTGTTGGGCAGACTGTTCTGCCACGTTTTTGTGGGAGCACCTGCAGTGCGTTTGCCAGGCAAATGCCCTTCGGCAGCGGCTCCAGCAGTTGGACCCAGAGCAGCAGCAGGAGTGGTGTGGTTTCGGCCGCCTTTGGTTTGGTTTTCAATTAGAACTGTTTTGGTTTTCAGCCTGATGCAGTTGCGGAGAGCGAGCGGGCAGTGTTTGTTGTGGTGATCATTTTCAGGACTTGGCCATGGTAGTTCCTTACATACAGAAGGGCGACAAGGCACGGGGCAAGGAACGCTGGACAGCTCAAGTTTGTGGAATCCGCGTGAGGCCGCCTTCAAGAAAGGCCTGAGCGTCATGGTCGGCGACTGAGGGCAACGGTGCTGCAAGTTTTGGCATGGTACTTCGCAGCCAAAGCGGTTTCAGAAGGACCTAAGGGTGACGCCTGAATCTCTGACACCCCATGTATGCCGTTTCGGGAAGGCCAAATTTGCCGCGCAGGTCCAGCACGGCGGCAACGACCGCATCAAGCGCTGCCTTCAGGGCCGGAGCCTAAGCCAGGGCTCCGGCTTCCTCGGTGCGAAAAGCGCAGGCCTCGCGGAGGTGGGCTTTGATGCCCTGGAAATCCAGCGATGGCTGCAGCAGGATGGAGCGCCGGTGCCGAAGTGCCCTGGCTGAAGCTGGAAGTTGCTCGGATCAGATCCTTGCAAGGACTTGTACTGAGGACCACAGCACTGTGGGCGTTTGTGATGTAAGACTTGAGGAACTTTTGGTTGACTTCACATCATGTTGATGTGTGTTCGAAAGGGGCTGCGACCGGCTCACGTGTTTTGCTTCGGCGGGGAGGCCCAAGACGGAGCACGGCGAGGCTGAGCGCAGGGCTTAGGTGTGCCGGGACGAACTTCATTGAACATATTGAAAACACTCAATCCCCACCTTCGGGTTTATCTTTGTGCTGAGCGCGAAGGTGGAAGTTTTCAGACTCAGACTTGATGTGCTCGTGCACACCAAAGTGTGGGTTTTGAGTGCCCGTCCTCTCACTGTGTCCATCGCGAAGAAATATTGGCTTGCTGGCCTCTAGCCTCTGCCAGAGTACTTGCCGCGATGACCCCAATTTTAGTCCACTCGGCCATTTTCCAGAATGCCAGCCGGCCGAGTCTGGCACCGCCGAGCCGTTTGGACAATTGGCTGGCTTCACTTGAGGCGTCAGCCTGTGCCGCCGCGAGAAGCTGCGGCCGGGGTTGGGTTGAGGGCTGCTTGGGACGTTGCGAGATGTTTGTGTGGGGGATGTCTGCCTCGTCGCTCGACTCGGGCTCTCGTTGGATTCACGCTTGATCGTCAGGCCAAGCGGATGCCTGCTCCGAGCGTCGGGGCGCGGAGCTGATCGAGGCGCTGGTCGACTGCTCCCACTGTTCCCCAACTGCCAGGCAATGGCAGGATTAGCCGCTGAACAGCAGCTGGCAGCAGGCAAACTTGTGGTCGAGTTGGACCTAATGCCATGGGTCAGAATTGAACCACCGCAAAACCGCAGATTTTAGTCCATTTTTCCATTTACCAGGGTTCCATTTTGGGTACCTATTTTTGACCCACAGCCTATGGACCTTGTCGCGATGCTTTTGGTGCTGAACTTGCTTTGCTGATGGCCCATTTCAGGCAAAGAGCAGCAGAAGACGGAGGTGCAGGGAAAGGCGGGTCAGCAGGATTTGGTTGCTTGTGCAAGCTTGAACGGATTGCCGGTTGCGGTGTATTTGAAAGGGAAGGCAGGCAGTGGGTCTCTTCTTTTTTGAGGGCGCCCCTGTTTAGTACACAAGGAAGGCCATTCCCAACATCCACATGTTGTCCGTCTTTTGCCTTGGAGGCTTCGGAAAACCGAAACCGATTTTCTCCCGAAAGATGTCTCCCGAAGCCCAGACGACTCACGCCGCCACGGCGAAGTCGGCGCTGCGCAAAGAGCTCGCACGGCGCCTGGCCAAAGGCGTTGAGGCAGGCCCGTCGCGTGTGCCGTGCGCCGCGACTGCTTTGGTGGCGCTTTTTCCCGTCCGTCTTTTCGGTTATCGTTTTTGTTTTGTTTTGTTTTGTTTGGGTTTTGAAGGGAAGCCAGCCTTTTTTGGGGTCCCCTAACAACGAGACGCGGCTTGTTCATTTGTTTGTTTGTTTGTTTGTTTGTTTGCTATTTCAATTGTTGCTTGAGTGCCTGAATTGCTCGGCGGAAGCATTTGCCTCGCGGAGCTTGCTTGACAAGTATCATGGCACGAAACAGGTAGGAACACGAAAGCCGTCACTGTTTGGCTGCCACAATGATGACCTTGCGCTTGTGAGGCTCTGAAAAGAGTGGAAGCTGTCGAAAAGAATGAGGCGCTTTGAGCCTTGCCAGACAGACTTCCATCAATATTCTGTATTGGGGCTTGAGTGTTCTATGCCAGATCCTTTGGGCAGGTTGAGTGACTCCCTCTTTTTCCATGCGCAAGTCCTTTTTCCTTCAAGCATCCACTTTCGCCAGTCACACCTTCTCCCCCTTTTATCTCTTTTTGCGCCGCTTTTTATTTTTATTTTTCATTTTTATTTTTTATTTTAGACTTTTTCCGGCGTCCCAAGAGAAGCGCCTGCCCCAAACAAACCGGCGCAGGCGGGGGTCCGGCAGAGCCTGGCCGCGGAGCAGGACCGCGTGGGGCACCTGGAGCAGGCGGTTTGCGGTTCGCGGAGACTCGGCGGAGACTCGGGGGGCGGAGACTCGGAAAAAGGGGGGCTTCGGCTTGTGAGGAAACCGACGCTTGTGGGTTGGTGGGCTTTTGACGGTTTTTGTTGGTCTTTTCTGGGCTGGTTGATGTTTGGAAACCGACTCTTTTGGGTTGATTGGCCCATTTTTGACCGTTTTCCGTTTTTCCGTTTCTCTTGATCGTTTTTCCGTTTCGTTTTTTGGCGGGCGGTTTGAAGCAGTTGGCATGAGCCGGGCGGATTTCTTACTAGAGCCGGCCGAAGCGGATTGGCCAGGCGTTGCACAAAGAAGAGGAGGAGAGAGCCGAGGCCAAGTCCACTCGTGAAAGGTTGCTTTATGAGCTTCACCTTTTTTTGGTTGTTCGGTTTTCCGGTGTGTTGTTTTAGGCGGCTGCACAACCAATGGCATGCTACCATGTTGTAAAGTATGGTTTTCGCTGCAGGTCAGCAAGGAGAACTCGCAGTTGAAGCAAGAGCTGCAGCACGAGGCCGATGGTTTGTGACACGTCAAAAGGCATCAATCCTGTAGCCAGCTAGCCAGCGTTCCGACACTGCGCTTAACATAGCATGATATTCATGTCAATCCTGTGTAGAATCAACTGGGCATGAGTCGCTTCGACTCGCATGAAATGCCGACGCACAGCACAAGACTGGCTTGGCGTGCAGTTTAAGCTGACGCGAGGAGGAGCTGAACAAGCAGGCCTTTGCCCGCTTGGATGCTTTGGAGAAGGCCAGGGCAATCGGCAACTGCGTGTTGGCGGCGATGAGGTGTATCTGACCAAGTATTCTGATGTTTTAGGGTTTGTGTCCATTGGTTGCCATCATAGCCGTGTGCCTCCTCTGCTTGTGTCAGGCTAACTCCCCTTGAGTTTGGGAATGTTGAGTGTTGCGAGCGTGCTTCTAGCAGATTCTAGCCCGCCCAATGAGCAGGGTACATTCGCGTGCAACACCCATTGTCGAAGAGTTTATAGGGCTGCCCTTGCAGTTCCCTCATGATTGTGGCTTTGCAGGGTGGCGGCTTCTGGGATTATGAGGGAATTAGGGGTGTTGGTCGTCGAAGTTTGTCGGTTTGTCGGTTTTTGATGTACACACACCTTCTGGCCTTGCAGGCCCGCAACGAGACGGGCATGGATCGGGTGGCGGTCTTGGAGGTGGGGGGCCTGAGGTGCTCGATTGATATAGCCGATGCAGTAGGAAGGGTCGTTCCGTTTTGACGGCTTGGGTTTGTTGCAGAGATGTGGTGTAACAACAAATAACAATCAGAACCCTGTCATTGCCAAGCATTGTCAGTTGAACGATTTTGCAAGCTTACGTGGTTTTTGCCTACACTCGTGCAAGTACCAGGGCAAAGTGTTGCACACGTGGCTTTTGTTTGCAATGGCAGCTCGCTACGACAGGACCAAAATGTGAAGTTCCGCGCTGCTCTGGCCGGGGCTGCTGGGGCCCGAGTCGAAGCATCTTTGTCAAAGATGGGATCGCCCCGAACTGGATTCCTGGTAAATGGAAAAGACCCAACACCTGCGGCGCTGGCTCTTGAATTTGGAGCTGCACCCGCCTCGCTTGATATAATCAGCAGCTGGTGGTTGGGGTGAGGCGCGGAGGCTGATCAACCTCGAGGCAGATGTCACAAGCCAGAGGTGCGGTGGGCCGGGCATAGCGTACCGAGAATGTCCGAAGGCCAAGCTATGACGCTTGGCGCGTGTGCATTGACACCGAATCTCGCGACGTGTTTGAGACACGACGTGTTTGAGACACGTCAAACAGCATTTTTTGCCTTGTTGGCCATAGTCACTGGAATGTCTCGGAGTTTGTTGGAGGCCTCGGGAAAGTTCCTTAGGGCATTGGGACCTGGCGTGCAGTGGCGCCTTTTTGCTCCTGGCAGGCAGCTGT